TCCTGATCTGGGGGACTTGCCTCTCTGCTCCTCTTGGTTAGTCTACTAAATACAATTTTAGCAATTTTATTTATTTATTTTTTATTTTGGTATCATTAATCTACAATCACATGAGCAACGTTGTGTTTACTAGACTTCCCCCACTATCAAGTCCCCCCCCCCACACCCCATCACAGTCACTGTCCGTCAGCGCAGTAAAGATGCTGTAGAATCGCTGCTTGTCTCCTCTGTGCTGCACTGCCCTCCCCGTGCCCCCCACCCCCCTCCATTATGGGTGCTAATCGAAATGCCCCCTTTTCCCCCTTATCCCTCCCCTCCCACCCATCCTCCCCAGTCCCTTTCCCTTTGGTAACTGTCAGTCCATTCTTGGGTTCTGCGAGTCTGCTGCTATTTTCTTCCTTCAGTTTTTACAGATGAGTGAAATCATTTGGTGCTTGTCTTTCTCCACCTGACTTTTTTCACTGAGCATAATAACCTGTCGTTCCATCCATGTTGCAAATGGTAGGGTTTGTTTTCTTCCTATGGCTGAATAATATTCCATTGTGTATATGCACCACCTCTCCTTTATTCATTCATCTACTGATGGACACTCAGGTTGCTTCCATTTCTTGGCTATTGTGAATAGTGCTGCGGTAAACATAGGGGTGCATCGTCTTTTTCAAACTGGGCTCCTGCGTTCTCGAATTTTAGCAATTTTAGCTTCACTGATTTTCCCGTTTTCCCATTCCCAGTTTCATTAATTCCAATGCTCACCTTTATCATTTCCTCCTTTCTTCAGGTTTGATCTGCTCCTCATTTTCTAGATTCTTGAGATGGGAGCTTACCCTGTGGGTTTCAGGCCGGTACTTAACAGATCGGTCACGCTGAGCTCTAAGCCCTGCTCGAGCTGCATCCCCTACATTTTGATGTGTTGAAAAATTCAGGATTTTCATTCCAGTAAAAACTCTTTCCACTTTCCCTTGTTCTCCTTCTTTGACCCGTGGGTCACTTCGAAGTGTGTTCTTCAATTTCAAAACGTGGGGATTTCTCAGATTTCTTTCTATTGTTGGTTTATAACTGAATTCCTGTGTGTTTGGAGAGCGCGCTCTGGCTGCCTTTGGTATCTTGAAGTGTATTTGCGTGACCTTGCGTGCGGCCCGTCCTGGGGGATGCTCCGTGCGCTCTGCCACTGTGGGGCTGAGGGGTCTGTGAAGTCCAGTGCGGCCCGCTTGGCTGACGCTGTTGTTCAGTCTTCCGTCTCCTTGCTGATTTTCTGTCCGGTTGTTCTAACAGTTATTGAGAGTGAGTGTGGAAACCTCCAACTATTTGCTGAATGGTCTCTTCCTCTCATCAACTCTCAGTTTCTACTTCGTGTATTATTCTGGGACTCTTGCTAGGTGTGTATTCGTTTATAATTGTTACCCATCCCTGGTGGTGTGATCCTCTGTTCACATGAAAAGTCCCTTTTCTAGTAAGAGTCCTTGTCGTAATGTCTGTTTTTTTTCTGATTGATGTGGCCACTCCAGGTCTGCCTGTCCCCAGGCTGCCGTTCCACTGTGTCGTCCCTCTGGTGGCAAAGCGCCGATGTGCGTCCTCAGTGCGTCATTTCGAGGGTCCGCCGAGCCCACCTGCCCCGTCTCTGGTGGTGTGGGCTGTGACCGTGCGGTGAGCTGGTGTCTGCGAGCTTCTCCCCCGCAATGTTGCCCTGTCCCCTCTGTAAACAACTTCCCGAGGGCTCCTCTGTACGGACCTTGTGGCTCCCCTCCCCCTGCTGCCAACTGCCTGCAGCTTCTGGGGCGACGATCCTTGCCAGAAACAGTTACTGCTCCGGCATTCGCCCTCCGGTGATTTTCTATTTCTATAACCCCTGTGTTTGTTATCTGGGTTTTTGAAAAGGAGAGCTGGCCCTTCTTCCCCCTTATTCACCCGTCGTCCCGGTGCTCATGCGTGTCGTCTCGGACTGGTGGGTCATCTCCCGGTACGCGCATTGTTTCCTTGCTCACGTTGTCCTGGGTTTGGCTGTCAGGAGCCCTCGGTGTGGCACCCGTGTCCTTCGAGCGTTTCCCCATGATGTCTGGAGCACTTCCCGATGCTCCGGCCCCACAAGATGCTCCTGCCCCCTCTTGTCCTTCCTGAGCACTGGCCTGGAACCAGCCCTTTCTCCAAGAAGCCCTGTTCCTTTTAGTGGCTACTGGGGTTTAGTCACCAAGATCTGGGCACCGAGGGGGCCCAGTGCTGCACGGTGTCCTTCGCGGACATAGCTGCGGTTTACTTCCTTCACACTCACACGCCTGCACGCACTTCTGCCTCTGTCCGCCCACCCACCCGAGAGCCCCCGGCTCCCCTTGATGCCCGAGGGCCCAGGGCACCCCGCCCGACCGCGGGACGAGAACCTGGCCCCCCCCACAGCGTCCTGACTTAGTCGTGCCATCCTAGAACATACACAGAGCATCTCAGCGGCTAACCCCTCTCCTGCACAGAGTAAGTTTCCTGAGCACTGAGTATTTGTGTACCATTCCTTTGGCCTTTCACCTGTTTTCCAAAGCTGCTTAGCTGGCCTTTTTTTTCCCCTGCCCCACTCAGGGTTCTATGTTGGTTTTTTATTTTTTGTTTAAACTTTAATGTTCTAAATTGTGGTAAAATACACATAAAAAATTCACCATCTTACCATGTTTAAATATACAGCTCATGGCATTAAGGACATTCACATGTGCACGTCCCCAACTTCCATCTCCAGAACTTTCCACCTTCCCAAACCAAAACTGTCCCCATGAAACTAGCCCCCCAGCCCCCGGCCCCACTGTCCATTTTCTGTCTGTGTGGACGGGGCTCCTCCAGGGACCTCCTGGGAGGGGGGTCTGACGGGGTCTGCCCTGCTGTCTGGCTCATGTCCCTGAGCACCGTGTCCTGGAGGCCCGTCCACGCTGTAGAGGGGGCAGTGCCCTGCTCCTTCCCACGCTGCGTGATGCTCCGTGTGCGGATGGACCACACTGTGTGAAGTGCATCCAGGCTGCTGCCACCTTTTGGCTGCTGTGCACACATGCTCAGGTTTCATGTGGACGTGTTGCTCAGGTACACACCCGGGGTGGAGTTGCTGGTGACCCCAGGTCTCACCATCTGCACGTCTTACCTTCCCGCCCTTCGTGCACCGGTTCTGATTTCTCCACATCCCCGTCAAGTCTCGCCACTGCTCATAGTTTTGATTCCAGCCTTCCTGGTGGGGCAAAGTGGCGCCTCACTGTGGTTTTGAGTTGCATGTATCCTTCTGCTCTTGGGGAAGGAGGATGAAGGGAGGGAACGGATGCAGGAAGGGGGAGGCTGCTGGGCGAGGGGCTGCGCTCTGGCCGACTGGAGGTGGGAGCAGTAGAGGGGCAGGTGTGGAGGCTGGAGCCCGAAGGCCCCTGGAGGTCTAAGTGAGATCGAGGTGGGTGGGGGAGCCGTGGAGGTGGGCAGACCCCTCGGACCCAGCAGCCTCTGCGGGGCCACGGGCTGTCCCCATGTCCCGGGGCACTGATGGGCGTGATCGGCCAGTAGCCCTGCACAGACATGTGGCAGTGGGTGGCACATCGTTTCCTCTCCCTCCGGAGATCAATCAGATGATTTATTCACTTCTGGAAGGAAAGGATGCACAGGAAGGCACTTCGTGTATGCAGATGTGTGGGACTGTGGCACAGGGGCCTGGGGACCCTGCCACTGCAGTGAACAAGCGGTGGGGCAGGTGAGAATGGCAGCTAAATGGGCCTGAGCATCCTGGGGTGGCCGGAGCAGCACCGCAGGCAGGCAGACAAAGCCAGAGACACAGCCCTCAGCTCAGGATCTGAGGGCCGGGCTCCTGTGGCTCCGGGGTTGGGTCCCCCTACCTGTCCAGCCGCAGGGGACCCCAGGCAGCCCTGGGTTCTTGGCCCCCTTCCTTCCAGTTTCTACCCCTGTCAAGTGGCCTCTTGCTGTGTGTCTGTCCAAGTTTCCTCTTTGTAAGGACCCCTGTCGTCAGGTAGGACCACCCCACCCCGGTGTGACCTCACCAAAACTAATGCCCTCTGCAGAGACTGTTTCCACACCAAGTCCTGTTCTGGCGCTCCTGGGGGGCAGGACTGTTGGGGTGCTGTTCACGCCACCACACCTGGTTTCCCCCTAGCCTCTGGCTCCAGTCTGGCCCTTGGGGTGCAGTCAAGTCCCGGACTGGACTGTGGCCCAGACGGGACCTGGCAGGGTCAGGGGCACATGTCCGCTGATGGGAAGGTGGGGCAGGGGGGAGGGTGGGGCTCGTCTCCCTGCAGGGGAAGGCAGCCGCCAGTGGCCAGGGAGTCGGCTGTGTCTGCTGAGTCCCGACATTTCTGAGTGGGGGGTGGCAGCTCAGAGCCCCCCCGTGTTGTGGCAGGGACCCTGCGCAGGGCTGTGGCCGTGAGCTGTCCCTGCCCCCCTCGGGAGGCCGCCACAGGGTGGGCCCTGGCACCAAGGACCGTGGCAGGGTGCTGTGCGCCATACTCTCGGCTCAGCCCCTGCGGGTCCCCGCAGGAATCCCTAGCGCCCGTCCACCAGGCCATCTGGAGGGCTCACAGCGGGAGGGAAGGCTGGGGCACCCCGCAACTTGTCCTCCCACCCTCTAGCTGAAGACATGGGCGATGGGCCTGAGCAGCAGGGGTTCCTGGGCTGCACCCCAGGCCTCCCTGCTGCTACCGCCTCCTGACACTCGCCCCACGCCCTTGGCCTCAAAGCCCTTCCCCCGGGCTCAGCCCGGCTCAGATGTCCCTGCCAGGCGTGAGTGGGCGAGGGAGTGTCTGAGGGGCTGGCGGGGCTGGCTGGGCTGTGAGCCCGTCTGCCATGGGGGGCGGTCGGTCTCTCCTGTCCGCCTCCTGTTGCTCCGTGGTCTTCAGCGCCGTCATTCTGGAAGCATCTTCCTCCAGGATGCTGTGGGCCAGCTTCTTCTGGGGGTGCTGGCCGAGGGTCTCCGGTGGGGACACTCAGCCATCCCCAGGGCCCCTGACAGTCCCCCCAGCTCTGGTGACTGGGATGAGCGGGGACGAGCAGGCTCTTCTCTGACACGCCAGGTTTGTGCTTGCCGTGGGAAGTGCCGTCTTCGATGCCATGTTCAACGGGGGAATGGCCACCACGTCCACTGAGATCGAGCTGCCCGACGTGGAGCCGGCCGCCTTCCTGGCGCTGCTCAAGTGAGCCCTCTGGGTCCCTCACCGTGGGGTGGGTGCAGAAGCCTGAGGCTTGGAGAATAGAGACGGCCTGGCAAAGACAGAGACCCCTGGTGACAAGGCATCCCGGGCACCCGGCCCCCTGGAGGTTTCTAGAACTCTCCTCTGCAGTGGAGGATGCACTCTGAAGATCCTCATGCCATTTTCACTTTTGTGTCCTTTTATCAAGATGTAATTCAGATATTTCACAATTTACCCATTGAAACTGTGCAAGTAACTGCATTTTGGTGCATTCACAGTATTGTGCAAACATCACCTCTGATTCCAGAATGTCCCATCACCCTAAAAAGAAGCCCCGTGAGCTGTCATCCCCAGGCCTCCCAGCCCCCGGCACCCACAGGCCCACGTTCTGTCTGGACATTTCATAGAAAGCGCGCTGTGTGGCCTTCTGTGTCCGGCTTCCCCAGGAGCCTGTTCCAGGGTTCACCCCGTTGCAGCCCATGTTACTCTGACGAGAAGAGAGAGCCGAGACAGGAGGCCGGCTTTCAGGAGCCCCCCACCCGTCTCCTTTGCTCAGCGCGATTCCCTCGCTTCTGGAAATGCTGGTGTAAATTGTCATGGGTGACTTTAAAGATCACCCCAAACAGTTAAATTTGTAAATGCAGTTTATTTTTTCCCATCCGATTATAAAACGGCACAGGCTCACACACATGCAAAATTAAGAACATACAAAAAGCATAAATAACAAACTGGAGCTAACCTGTCCCCCCTCTGACACACCACAGGGTGCCCTTGGCCAGTCCTCCCCGCTCAGCTCCAGGCGTCCCTTCCCTCACCCGGGCACATCCCAAACCCACTCCCAGGGGGTCCCCAGAGGGGCCACAGCCACGGAGACGGAAAGTGGGTGCTGGGGCTGGGGGAGGGGTGGAGGGTGTTTCATGGGACGGCTTTGGTTTAGGCAGGTGGAAAGCTCTGGGGATGGAGGGTGGGGTCGGCTGCACCACTGGGCGCTGTATGCCCTGAGCTGTGCACTCAGAGATGGTCATCATGGTGAATTTTTTGTCATGTGTATTTTACTGTTAATTTCAAAAACTGAAAGTGATGTCCATTAAAGAAATCAGAAACAAAACCAGGTTAGTCTGCCAGACGCTGGGGGTTGTGTTGGGGCTTCCGGCGCATTCCCGGCCGACACCAGGAGAGGGTGCGTGCCCTGGGAGTTCGCCCCTGTCGCCGTGCACCGGCCCCGCATGGGGGTTCTGATTTCTCCAGGCCCTCACCTTTGTTTTAAATCAACCCCAACTTCCGACCCCCGTTTAGAGTCTGGCCAGTGGCAGGTATTCAGGGTGTGGGTGAGTGTGAGTCAGGCTGGCCCTCTGGGCCTGTGATTTACCCACAACTCACTGAGCTTCGCAGCGAGGCCTGAATGTGGAGACCTCTGAGTCCAGGGCGGGTCCCACGGGCAGCTGGTGGCTCGTAGCCCTGGTGCCCTCACATGGGGAAGGGGGCAGGCCTGCTGTGTAGACGTGTCCCTGTGTTTGGGGGTGACTGGGTTAGCCCCCTGCTGGTACTCACATTTAATGGCCTTTGCTGGGTCACGTCTACACGTCAGCAGAGGCTGGTTTGGAACGTTCCTCGGGCCAGGACAGTGGGTTAGGGGTCCTGCTGGCCAGGTCTGGCCGTCCGAATGGAGCCATGAGCCCCTGGGGTCAGGCTGGGCAGCCCCTGCCTCAGGGCCTCCACGTCCACCTTCCCAGGTTTCTCTACTCGGATGAGGTTCAGATCGGACCTGAGACGGTCATGACCACGCTGTACACTGCCAAGAAGTACGCGGTGCCTGCGCTGGAGGCCCACTGCGTGGAGTTCCTGAAGAAGAACCTCCGGGCCGACAACGCCTTCATGCTGCTGACCCAGGTGTGTGGGCGGGGCAGGCGCAGGCCCAGGTGAGGGGGCGGTAGGGGCGTTTGTCCGTGGTTTGCACCCCTGCCCCCACCTCTGGTGCCATCCCCTCCTTTTTTCTAGGCCGCCTGTTGGCAGGTGGGGCTCACTGTTCCCGCCTGTATTCTGATGCACTTTGCAAGGGTCAGGTGTGGGGCAAAAGGCATTTGGGTTCCCTTGAGACAGGCCTCTTGGTGCTGTGTCCAGTCGGGCATCGGAGGGCTCAGCGGGGCCACAGGGACCCAGAGACTGGGAAGCACGTGGACGCAGGTGGTTGGGGATGGGGTAGCGCGGAGTGTAGGGGGCGCCTTCTCCCAGGAGGTCAGGGCACCACCGAAGTGCGCTGGCTCTGCGAACCCTGGGCTCTGGGCGCTGACCGGCCACGTCGGGGCTGCCCTAGCCAGGCTGCGGCAGAGACGGGGGCAGCGGGGTGGAGGGGTCACTGCGTTCTGCAGCTCTGTGGTTCCAAGGGACCTGGAGGCCAGAGGCATGAAGCTACCGTGTCCGGCCCGTCCCCGGGGCCTGGAGGGGCAGGTCCCCGCTGTGGTCTCTGGCCGTCTGTGGGCCCCTGGGCCCCCGAGCTTGACATTTGTGTGGAGCCTCGGGGCAGGTGTCGCCTTCAGTCCAGCCGAGGCCTGGGTGTTCACACGCCCTCCCTCGCCAGGCCAGGCTCTTTGACGAACCGCAGCTTGCCAGCCTGTGCCTGGAGAACATCGACAAGAACACCGCGGACGCCATCACCGCGGAGGGATTCACCGACATCGACCTGGGTGAGGCCCTCGGGGCTGCGGGGCATGTGGCCAGGGACCTAGCAGCTGGGGCGTCCGCCGCGGGGCCGGGGCGCTTCCGTCTGGCTCCCAGGCCCGGCGCTGGCTGGAGAGCTTGGCGCTCATGCGTCGCTGCGGCCCGGCCCTCTCCGCAGACACGCTGGTGGCCGTGCTGGAGCGGGACACGCTGGGCATCCGCGAGGTGCGCCTGTTCAGCGCCGTTGTGCGCTGGTCCGAGGCCGAGTGTCAGCGACAGCAGCTGCAGGTGACGCCGGAGAACAGGCGGAGGGTCCTGGGCAAGGCTCTGGCCCTGATCCGCTTCCCGCTCATGACCATCGAGGAGTTCGCCGCAGGTAACGGCCAGCGGTGCCGAGGGGCTGCTCGGGGGGAGCGCGACCCCGGGGGGCCCCAGGTGTGACCCAGGCGCGTGTCCTGGGGCCGGCACGGTGGGTCTGGCGCCGGCCGCACGGCCACCCCCGAGCCCCTGCGGGGGCACAGCATGCTCGCTGCGTGCACGCGGGAAGCTTGGACGGCGCCTTAGAGTGTAAAGTCGAAGGACCTGCAGACGCCGCCCGTCCTGCGTCCCCGCGTCTCTTGCCTTCTGCTTCCGTGTGCACACCGGTGTGGGCGTGTGCCTGGCCCCTGAGGGGCCCCGTCTTGGACTCACGTCCTGGGGGTTGGGCTGCGGTGTCAGCACCCTTGACCGGCCCCATGAAGGGTAGGAAGGGGACCCCAGAGGCCTCCCTCCCCTAGTGCGGTGCTGACCTCGCCCTGGAGCCAGACAGGCCTGGGAGGCCCCGGATGGGGCCCACAGTGGTGCCCACCCGCCATCCTCTCTCTTAGGGCTGCCAGATTTAGCACCAAGAACGGTTTTCTAGTGTAAGACTTCCCATGTGCTGCAGGGCCTGCTTGGCCTATAGATGGGCGCTCTTGGCCCTGAAGTTCAGGTCTGACCGAGCGTCCCGTGTTTTATCTGCTGCCGGTGTCCCATCCGTGCTGGGGACCGAGCTTCCATCAGATGCTTGGAGAGGGCCCCTGGCGTGCAGGCCCTTGCAGGGCACTGTGGACACGGCAGCCAGGGACACCCCCTGTTGTGACCACAGAGGTCCCCAGACACAGCCACATATCCCCTGGAGGGCCAGGGTTCCCCCAGATGAGACCCCGGGCTGTGGCACTGGACTGCTCCTCTCCCAGACACCTACATGAGCCTTGCTGCCCCTCCCCACCAGCCCTGGCTTGCACCCCAAAAGCCGTCTCCTGGTGGCCTCCGGCCTGCCTGGCCACCACACCCTCTGGGGTCCCTGGCCACCTCCTGGAACTGCCCTTCCCTTGTCCTCAGAATGGAGCCTGTGTGACTCTCACCTCCTTTGGGGGAGGGAGCCCCCTTTTCCCACAAACACCCTTGCCTAGGTACAGCCCCGACCTGGCCCCCCAGCCCCACCCAGCTTAGCGCACCGCGCGTGACAGGTGTGCTCCGGGCTGGAGCTGGGCCCTCTGGCCCTGGCACCACCACGTGGTGTGAGCCCATGGGGCTCGGGTCCTTTGTGTTTTAGGCAAGCCCCTTCTTCTTGGGTTCCACCTGAAAATACGAGAAACTAGAGGAAAATTTGAAAAACAAGCTCAGCTGAGCACGTACCGCTGAGGACCGATGTATTGTTCTTTCTGCGTTTCCTAGGCAGAGATTAAAAGAACTGTGGTCAACATTTTGCACTGGTTCTGTCCTCCTTCCCTCTGTGGACGACCGCCCCCAAGACTGCTTTGTGTGTGGGTTGTTGGGGGCAGAGAGCAGGGCTTCTGCAGAAGTGCATTCATAGTTGGTAAACGAGTGGTTCTGGAAGTAGAGGGTAGTGCCAGGTGAGACCTGGCCCTTGGCCTGTCCTCACCCACACGCGGCCGTGCCATCGCACACCCAGGTGTCCGCCTCCCGCACCCCTCTCTGGCTGCGGGGCTGTGTCCGGCAGGTCCTGTCACCTCCCCGTCTGTGCAGGGGCCTCCCGGCCCACCTGAGCCAGGAACCCCCATCTAGGGGCGAGAGTCCCCTGGGCAGGCGGCCGTGGGCTCCAAACAGGGGCCCAGTGGAGGCTGGGTGAGGGGCAGCAGGTGGGCTTTTGCCCAGTGAGCGAGCGAATCTGCACTGACCCCACCCCAAGCGCCGTGGAGAAGGGCGGTTTGTTGGGGGTCTGCCTGGACCCCTCCGTTTTGCAGATCCCGCATGGCCTCAGAGTTGCCGAGGAGGCAGCCGCTGCTCACCGTCCCTGTGCCCAGGGGGCACGCCTGCCCCTGGCCTGCCCCATCCCCATTCCCAGCCATGGCCCCAAGCGGCCCTGGCCCCACGCCCCTTGTGCCCACAGGGCCCGCGCAGTCAGGCATCCTTGTGGACCGCGAGGTGGTCAGCCTGTTCCTGCACTTCACCGTCAACCCCAAGCCGCGCGTGGACTTCATCGACCGGCCACGCTGCTGCCTCCGCGGGAAGGAGTGCAGCGTGAACCGCTTCCAGCAGGTGGAGAGCCGCTGGGGCTACAGCGGCACCAGCGACCGCGTCAGGTGGGCGGGCGGGGTGCGGGGAGGAAGGCCTGGGGGCAGGGGTCCCAGGAGGGTCTTCCTGCGGGCGGGGTGGGCAGGTGCGTAGGGCTGGGGGCGGCTGCGGTCCGGTCCCGGGGCAGCATCTCGCTTCTCCATGTGTGGCTCAGGTTCTCGGTGAATAAGCGCATCTTCGTGGTCGGCTTCGGGCTCTACGGCTCCATCCACGGGCCCACGGATTACCAAGTGAACATCCAGGTACCCACTCTGGCCCCTGGCCCTCGAGACATCCCTCCTATAAGGGTCTCTGCCCTGTGCCCCCCCCCGTGGTGAGGGGTGCCCCCCCCCCGTGGTGAGGGGTGCCCCCCCCCGTGGTGAGGGGTGCCCCCTGGGACACCCGCGGAATGCTGATGATGCTTCCCCATCCCCTCTCATCTGCCTCCTCGGGGCCGAGGCTGGGCACGGTGTGGCTCAGCCTCTGTGGGGCCCTGTGCGTGCGCTTGGGGGCATGTAGGCCCGCGGCTGAGGGCGCCCGGCTCCCGGCCTGCAGATCGTCCACACAGACAGCAACACGGTCTTGGGGCAGAACGACACCGGCTTCAGCTGCGACGGCTCTGCCGGCACCTTCCGGGTCATGTTCAAGGAGCCGGTAGAGGTGCTGCCCAATGTCAACTACACGGCCTGTGCCACCCTCAAGGTGTGCCTGACCTTACCCCACCCCGATCCCAAACCCATCCCTGGCCCCAGCTGCGATCCTCATTCTGCCACGCTGCCTAGGGCCCTGACCCTGACTCTGGTGCCCACCCAGGACCCTGCCTGACCCCCGAACAGTGCCGGGACCCTGACCGTGCACTTCCCTTCCTACGCTGTAGCCCACCTCCTCATGGTGTGGCTTCTGCTGTGGACCAGAGGGCCTGCACCCGGGGGCCCCGGTGGGGTGGTGCTGCCCTGCCCAGTCGGGGGCCCGCCTGACTCTCATGGCCCCTGCCCCACAGGGCCCAGACTCCCACTATGGCACCAAAGGCCTGCGCAAGGTGACCCATGAGTCCCCCACGACTGGGGCCAAGACCTGCTTCACCTTCTGCTACGCGGCCGGGAACAACAATGGCACGTCCGTGGAGGACGGCCAGATCCCCGAGGTCATCTTCTACACCTAGGCCGCCGTGCCCTGTGGCCCCCCACCCCGCGCCTCTGGCCACCAGGAGGGGAGCTTCACTCTCATGGGGCCCCGGCCGCTGTTCAGAGCCTGGCAAGGGCCGTGCGACAATCCCTCAGGACTCGGGGGACAGGGCAGGCCTGACCCGCCCCCCCCGAGGGTCCTGCCCGCTGCCCAGCAGCTCAGGGCTGCCTTGGGCGCCCGAGCACTGGACCCGTAGGCTGGCGGCCCCTGTGGCTGGTCCGGCTGCACGTGGCAGTGAACCCCGGATTTCCCACCCTGGTGGGAGACGGTATGTGGGGGTGCCCCTAGTGTTTTGTTGGGGTGTTGTGTTCCTTTGCTCTGCTCACTGGGGGAGCCCAGGCCCCACCAAGCCCCCAGCATGACAGCCTGAGCCCCAGGCAGTGGGACTCCTGTGGGCCTCGAGCCGCCTGCTGGTCCTGCTGGGCCTGCCCAGCCTCCCCGTTCAGCCTCCTCCAGGCCCTGCAGCCGAGGACGGGGGCCTCAGAGCCCGTCTGCCGGGAGGGGTGATGGTGCGGGCCCCCCACCTCTGTACATACTGCCACCTGTCGGCCCCGGTGAGCACCGAGGTGCTGACCCCTGGGTGCCTCTGCCGCCCTGCGTGTTTCTGCCCCAGTGAGTCCTTTTGGGACCCGTGTATTCCCTGAAGCCATGAAAGGTGTGCCCTCCTCACACCACACCCACAAGTGACTTTTTTAAATAAAGGAAAGAAACGTACAGCCCTGACCTGCCTGCTTTTGCCTGTCGGAGCCCCTGGGGCCCTGGCAGCTCTGAGACCCAACCCTTCTCTCTGCGGCTGCTTCTACATCGTAAGAGGGACACATGCCCCACGCCCACTCTGTCATCAGTCTCCCCGTAGGCCTCCCCACCCGGGGGCTTCCACCACGGCCCTTCTATGCACAGTGGGGACCCGGTGGGTGGGTGGAATGGGCACAGCCAGCAGGGCGCCGTGGGGCTGTGGCCCAGTGGGGCCTTCCCAGCACTCTGCCAGGACCGGGCTGCAGGGAGCTGCATGGGGCCCTCGCTGGCTCTGTCCTCTGGACCTGGGGCGGCGCCCGGCGCGCAGGAGGCACCCGCTGCTCGGCTCTGTCCCGAGGTTCCCCACTCACCCTGGCCCCTCTTCTGTGCAGTGAGGGATCTGGAGTCCGAGTAACAGAGTTTATGCCAGAGGTTCCCAGGAGAGGACAAGGTATTTTACAGTCATGACCCGGGCACAGTCCAGGTCCAGGACGTGGCTGGCTGCCAACACCCTCTCTGTGCCTGAGCTCGGCTGCGTATCACCTCCCGAGACCAGCCACACTCCAGGAGAACACGAATGAGGCCTTCCAAGCACTCCAGGGGCAGCCTGGCCTGGGCCTCCCTGTGGTTTAGAGCCGTCCCCTTGGGAGGACAGGGTGACAGTGCCCAGCGCTTGAGCCCACCCAAGTCAAGGGCACAGCCGGCACAAAGGCTTGGCAGTAAGACAGTGGGAGGGGCCGGCGGAGTGACAGCCCTAGAGACAGCAGTGTCCCCGGTCATGGGGGTCCCAGTGACCCGCCGTGACTATTCTCTGCCGAAAAGGACTCGACCCTCCGAGAAGAACAAGAGCAGCACAAGCCCCTGCCAGTGAAGATGTCCGGCATCCACGCGGACATCACAGAGATAAGCAGGAAACAGATCCGTGAGTGCCGCATGAACCGGGAGTTATCAGAACACATATATTCAAGGCAGTAGAGAAAATGGACAAAACATGGCAACGATGGGGACTCTCGACAGAGTTAGAGTGTATCTACATTTGACAACCTGGAGCTAAAAAATACAATGTACCTGTAGCAAAGACCTCAGTGGCTAGACGCCCAGCAGGCTGGACACCACACAAGGCTGGACTAGTGAGCTAGGACACAGCGTCACAAGAAAAGCGCCCACACACAGTAAGAGGAAGGTGAAGGGACCACAGCAGCGGAAGAGCTGTGGGCCAAGAAGCGTCTGTGTGCGTGGAGTCCCAGAGGGGAGGAGTAATGGGCTGCAGGCTAAGAACTGTCCAGAATGGATATGGACACCGGCCCAGATCTGTAATCATCTCAGTGATGCAAAGTGAGATTATAAGAAAAAATTCACATATAGTCCAACTGCTGGAAATCAAAGGAGAGCTGCAGAAAGTACTCCCGAGCTGGAATTCCGTGCCCTGCACAGACACAACGGAGTTAAAGGGGAGCATACAGCAAGACGGCAGAAAGAAAACTCAACCACGTCAACGTTTACATCACATGCAAATGGATTAAAGATGGCCAGACGATAGGAAACCAAGCCAGGCTGAGCACAAGAGTCACGCTTTGAAGATAACGGGAAATCACCCAACACCAACCCGAAGAAAGTGGGTGCACCCGAATCAGTGTCAAGCAAGACAGACTTTAACACAATGCATATTACTAAGAGTAAAGAAGAACCTTTCATAATGATAGAAGGGTCGATTTGACAGGAAGATATAATAACAGTCCTAAATATTTATGTGCCACAGAATATGCTCAAAATATTTAAATCTAGAGAACAAAATGGAGCAAAAATGAGAAATAGGCAACTCTGTAAGCATAGTCGGATATTAACACCATCACAACTCTCCCTAAATGACAGGACAATGAGGAAGAAATCCGGAAAGATCTTTTAGATCTGAACATGAACAACAGACCAGGCCTAACAGCGTATGTGGAACACGAGGCCCAGGGGCCGAGAGCTCACAGTCTTCCAGGTGTGCAGGAAACGGAGACCAAAGTGTTTCATATCACAGAGCAGTTCTAGACGAGAAGGACTTACGCAGGGTGTGTTCTCTGAGTACACAGCGCTCAGACTGGAGACCGACCACAGGCGGACAGCCCAGAGGATCCCCATGTTTGGTAGGTAAGACATTCTTACACAAATGTAGGCCAAAAAAGAAACCATGTGGAAATTAGGAAATACTTTGAACTGAATGATACTGTGATTAAAACATACCAAAATTTGAGGATCCTGCCAACGCAGAACGGAGGGAGAAATTTAAGCTTTATGCATAGGTTAGAAAAGAAAGTTTAAATTCAATGATTGAAGCTTTCGTCTTACCAAACTACAGAGAAGAGTAAATTCAACCCCAAAAAGGAGAAATAACAGAGTACCAAGACCAAAGATGAAGCAGGAAAAAAATGAAATACAAAACAAAACTAGCTGGTTCTTTGAAGAAACCACAGCACAACCTTGAAAGAAGAAGAGAGAGAGAGAGAGAGAGAGAGAGAGGAGACAGCGCCGGCATCAGCAGAGGAAGGGAGACACCACTACAGTTTCTACCAGACACTGAGGAGAGAATCGGAGGGGTTGGGTTTCTCACTAGGATATCACCTGTCATGGCAGACCCACAACGTTAGCTGTTTCAGAACAAAAACTAGAAAAAGTACAGATTTACTACAAGAATCATACATACAAGCAACCACTATGGAAAACAATATGAATGTTCCTCAAGAGGTTTGAAATAGAAGTACCATATGATACAGCAATTCTGAGTGTGCAGCCGAAGGAAATGAAATCAGCAACTCAGTTATCCCCATGTTCAATGCAGCATTATTAGTAATAAAGACATGGAAACCCTCAGACAGATGAATACAGGGAATTATACACACACACACACATTCTTCACCCTTAAAAAGGAAATCCTGTCATTTGCAATGACATGGATGAACCTGGACATTATAATGCTCAGTGAATAAGCCAGGTACAGAAAGACAAATGCTGTCTGATCTCACCTACATGTGCAATCTAAAATTAAAGTCAGAATCTGTGAATTGTGGTTGCCAGGGCCAGGAGTTGGGGAAGAGGGGAGATGCTGGCCACAAGTCCTCAGCGGTGAGATGACTGAGCATAGAGCTTGGCAACTACAGTGACCACGGCCACAAAGGTGACTGTGAGGGGGTGGACTTGCTAATGACCTTGACTGGCTGTCATTTCACACTGCACACGTACATCAGATCATTGCAGCAAGCGTCCCAAGTCAGAAAAAAGAATCTTAACAAAATCATATGTAACTGTAAACATATTAAAGACTTGTGGATGCTAAGAAGTCTACAGGGACTAAATCTCAAGAGAGGAAAGAGCGCCTCCCAGGTGAGCGGAGGCCACCAGGTGCCAGGGGCTGCTGGGGGCAGGGCATTCTCCTGAATGAACATGAGGCTGGGAGGCCGATCGTGCTGGGAGGACAGACCAGGACCTGGAGGCGCCAGAAAAGCTGGGAGGATCCCCCTCATAGTGTCTGGCTGGAGAGGAGGGGTGGGAATTGGGGCGGAAGGGCAGAGTGGAATCCCCTGTGGTCATTCCACACTTGGAGAACAGAGTCCTACCAGAATGTGGGGTTGGAACAAAAACAGGACAGGTCAAGACATAAATATTTGAAAACATTCGAACTAGAGGTGACCTGGAGCGGAGATCCAGCCTCACGGGCCAGCTGGAGGCCTAGGGGCCCGTCGCCCGGCTCCCTGGTCATGGAGGGCATGTGCTCTTGCTGGGGAAAAACGCAACTACTTTATCCTTTCACACACCCATCTGGAATGCAACAAAAATGGAGACGCAGTGAGGAGGAAATGTAACCCAGCATCAGAGGCAGAAGAAACAGCTGATTCAAGTAGACCTGCAGAGGACGTGGATGCTGAAATTAGATGTTGGGGCACATCAAATCACTGTAATCAATGTTAAAAGAATAGGAAACAAATGGGGGCAGGGGGTGATAGAAACCCTACCCCTATAAAGAGCAGGAGATGGAAAACAGAACTAAAAAATACTAGAAATTATTTATTGGATAGCTTAGAGCAGGAAACAACAGAAAAGAGGATGAGTGTATTGGAGAGAAAAAAGTAGGAAAAAAATGTAAACATGAGCAACTTTTTCTTGAACACCTCTCCTCAGGTAAGGGGAACAAAAGCAAAAATGAACCAGTGGGACAACATGATGCTAAAAAGCTTCTGTACAGCAAAGGACACCATCAGCAGAACAAAAAGGAATCCTACAGTATGGGAGAATAAATTTGTAAATGACATATCCAACAAGGGGTGAACATCCAAAATATATGAAGAACTCACATGCCTCAACAGCCAAAAAAGCAAATAACCTGATTATAAAATTGGCAGAGGATATGAACAGACACTTCTCCAAAGAAGAAATTCAGGTGGCCAACAGGCACATGAAAAAAAGATGCTCCACATCACTAATTATCAGGGAAATGCAAGTTAAAACCACAGTGAGCTATCACCTCACACCAGCTAGGATGGCCAACATCCGAAAGACACAACAACAAATGCTGGCGAGGTTGTGGAGAAAGGGGAACCCTCCTGCACTGCTGGTGGGAATGCAAATTAGTTCAACTATTGTGGAAAGCAGTATGGAGGTTCCTCAAAAAAACTAAAAATAGAAATACTATTTGACCGGGGAATTCCACTCCTAGGAATTTAACCAAAGAAAGCAAGATCTCAGATTCAAAAAGACATATGCACCCCTATGTTTATTGCAGCACTACTTACAATAGCCAAGATAGGGAAGCAACCTAAGTGTCCATCAGGAGATGAATGGATAAAGAAGAGGTGGTACATATACACAATGGAATATTATGCAGCCATAAGAAAGAAAGAAATCCTACCATTCGCAACAACATGGATGGACCTAGAGGGTATTATGCTCAGTGAAATAAGTCAGGTGGAGAAAGACAAGTGCCAAATGATTTCCCTCGTTTGTGGAGTGTAACAAAGCAGCAAAACTGAAGGAACAAAATAGCAGCCGACTCACAGACCCCAAGAGGGGACCAGCAGTTACCAAAGGGGAGGGAGGGTGGGGAGGGAGGGAGGGAGAAGGGGACTGTGGGGTATCGTGATTGCTGCGCATGGGTGTGTGGGGTCATGGGGAAGACAGTGCAGCACAGAGAAGACAAGCGGTGACTCTGCGGCATCTCACTACACTGATGGGCAGTGACTGCAATGGGGCATGGGGGGGACTTGATAATACAGGTGAATGTAGTAACCACATTGTTTTTCTTGTGAAATCCTCATAAGAGTGTATATGAATGATACCTTAAAAAAAAAACTACCCAAGAACAAAATCTCCAGACCAGATGGCTTCACTGCTAAAAAAAAAAAAGAACAGAGTATTAGAGACCCATGGGCTCACATAAGACACCAGTCTGCCTATTAGTGACTGGAATCCTGGGGAAAGGAGAGAAAACAGGGAAAGGAAATATTTGAAGACATTAGTAGCAGGACATTTTCCAAAGTTGCTGAGAGACACCGATCTACAGATCTGAGATCTCAGCATGTGCCCCAAGGGATAAACATGAAGAGCCACGCAGCAGTCACCTAACTTAAAGACAAACATAAAGCGGCCAAAGGAAAAAGTAAAACTCCTTTGAAGCGAACAGCTCACCTCTCCTCAGAAACAACAGAATCTTCTTAAAATGCTGAAAGTAAAAAACAAAACGAAACCAACCACCTGCCAGCCTAGAATTCTATTCCCAGCAAAACATCCTTTGCCCAAACAGGCAAAATAACGATTTTTTCAGGCAACTGAAAGCCGAATTTGCTGCCAACAAACCTGCTACACAAGAGATTAAAAAACGGCGGTTTGTTCTGACCCCGCTGGTCCTTGTTGACCCCGCAGGACCTAGGACCCTCTGCAGCTTCCTGTCTCACGTCTGCAGTGGCATGATTTCTGCTTCGTTACAGGGCTAGGTGGTGCCCTGGCTCAGTGCCCGGGCTCACCGTCCCTTCAGCGCATACATCTTGTGCCATGCTCCCCAGGCAGCTCATCCCTAGTCGGACCCACAGGAGGAGCCCCTGGGCCCGCTGACCCCAGGCTCCAACACGGAATGCTGACCTCCTGCAGCCTTGGCGCTTTGACCCACGCTTTGGTCCACGCTAGCAGCACGTGAACCCCTCGGCCAGGCTTATCTCCCTGGGCTTTTCGAGGGGCTTCTCTCCTGTGCCTCGCCGACCTGGTTTTGACAAGTCTGGTGCCAACGTCTCTTGCCTGGCTAACTGTTCTGTCTTTGCCCACAGGGCTGGGGGAGCATCGCCGTCTTTAAAACGGAATCGTTTTCCTAGGATGTTCCTTGTACTTTGTCCTCTGGTTTCCCCATGTGTCCATCCAATGTGGAGATTTAGGTCATTTTCTCAATCTGTAAAGTTTCCTTGAACAAAAAAACTGCTCATTCCGATTAACCCCTTCAGAGACTGCTGGCGTGTCCCCCCTCTGCTGGCCTCCTGCCGCTCAGCCTTCCCTCCGAGGCCCCGCACATCGCATCAGGTCTTCTCATTCTCCTGTCCTGCTTCCGTGCCTGTTCCCACGTCTCTCTGGGAGGCTGGCAGCTTTGCGGTTTATTCGCTTCTGAAATCATGCTTCTCACCTTTCCTTCCTGAAGCTGATCAGTTGCTTCCAGGTCCACTTTCTGCCCGTTTCTGGCTGTCGCGTTTGGATTTCTGATCCCTACGTCCTCACACCCTGTGGGGACAAACCTTGCCGACACCCGGCCCCAAGGCTGCGCTTCCCCGTCTCTAGTGTGGAGGCGCACCCTCTAGTTGTCCTGTGAATTCACCCTCTGCTCTGGTACCCGTCCTGCTTTGCCCCCAGCATGGCCCTGCAGAGGGACAGGTGGCCGCGGCCCCACGAGGGCATTCAGGGACTTCACATCCTGAAGGGCGGGCAGTGATCGCGCACCCCTGGTCTCCCTTGTGGGGAAACGTCAGGAAGAGGGCAGGGCTTGCTGCTCGTCTTCACTGACCCAGAATTGCCATTAGGCTTTTTCCGCGTAGGGCTGTTGGTTATCGCTGCCTTCCTGGTCACAGCCTTGCACTGGGCCGCCGTAACAGAACACAGGGGCTGGGGGCTTCCGCTGGCCTTTTCTCAGGACACTATTTCTCGAGGTCCTGGAGGCTGGAGGCTGGAGATTGGGCGCCAGCAGGGCTGGTTCCTGAAGACGGGCTACAGATGCCTCTGTCTCCATGTCCTTGTGACCCGGAGAGGCTCTGGTGCGCCCCTGTCCTTGCCACAGCTCTCACCCCACCACGGGGGCCTGCCTTGTGGCCTCAGCACCCACAGAGGCCCTGCCTCCCCACAGCCTCCCGTGAGGCACCAGCAGGGCGCAGTCAGGTCCCCCAGGGGCGGTCCCAGGGTCCCACCTGTGAGGCACACTCAAGAGCCCACCACCCAGACACAGCCGCTACCGCATCCCCTGCACAGTCGCCTCAGTGTGCGCGCGTACAACCACCAGGGCAGCAGTTCTGCGGTGGCCGCCTTGCTTAGCCCTGCTCTCTGCCAGCCGCCTCCCCAGCAAACCCACGCGGCTCTTACATGGACTGGGCGTCTGTCACTTTGACCACCTCTGGGCCAGGGTGCCACTATGCCTGTTCCTGGCCTGTCCCCCACCTCCAGGAACGCAGGCCTCTGAGCTGCCACCGGGCTCAGCCGAGCCTCTTGGAAAGACTGGACACCACACTCGAGATTTCCTTCTCCTTTATTTTTTTTATAAAAGCCCCTAAGTTCTATGGCTTCCAGGAAGCATCAGACAAATGAAGTGCCATTTCTGTACACTTTGTAAAGCAAGACCTAGACGCAAACGCCGCGCAGGGCTGCCCCCGGCCCTTCCGCCCCGTGCGGCTGCAGGCCTCGGGGGATCTGAGGCCCCCGCCCGGCAGGGCTGCCCAGCCCGCACGCGCCTCGGGGCTAGGACCCGGCTTTAAGGCGCTTGTCTCCCGCGGCTCTGCGCGTACGGAAGTGAGAGGCCCACAGCACGAGTGGCCATGCAGGCGGCCGCCCTGGGGCAGACCCTGGACGCGGGTCCATGAGGCCCAGGGCCGCCCCAAGGGGCCACCCCGCCGGCCCGAGCTTTGGTGCAGCGATTTGGTTGGGGGGCTGCCCCTACCCGCCTTGCCCTTCGGTTCAGGGAGGCCCGGGGCAGGCTCACCCCCGGCAGCAAGGCCTGCGGCGCCCCTCGAGAAAACGGCCTTTGGATCGAGGAGAAAAGCTGGATTTTATGACCCACCAGGTGGGCTGGCGTGCGGCCGCTCTACTCACTTCAGCGGGCGGGCCGCGTTTGCTTTTCCTTGTTTTAAAAAGTTAATGCTCTCGGAGGGGCGGCCTGGACGGGTGTGGGGACGGCAGCCGGAGTCTCGTGTGGAGGAAGAAGCGGGCGGCTCCGCTGGCCCGGCCATCCGCGCCTGGCTGCGGACCAGCTCGC